GTTACGTGGTTGCTAAATATACACCCCCTCGAGGTGTATTAAGCGATTCCTTGACTTGAACGACACGTTGCATCACTAATCCTCTCGCTTAATTTCGCTCCTGTTTTTGATATGTCCATATGCACGGACTCGTACAGAAGCATTGACTAAGTTTTCAGTTGTGGCTTGTTCTACTGTTTAGTTTTTGTCCCTCTTTGATTGTTTCCCACTGACCGGCTTCAAAACACTTTAATGGAATAGACACAGACTGGCCATCGGGCCGTGGCTTTGCTCAAATTATTGAGCGAATTCTTATCAAGGCTACAAAGTAATGAGCGAAGGATCAATTATCACGGGAGACATTAGCTGAATCGGGATGAAGAAGGGTGTCGTGCGAATGTTTTAAATCACCTACTGCAGTGTTCGCACAGTGACCTCTGGAGGGTGTATGGGTTGCTTTTTCGTGGCTGTACACATCGAAGGAGTGACGTGGTTATGTGCTCCAACGCTCTTTTTCCTTTGTCCGTTCTTTCGAATTCCACGTGAACGCCACAGAAAGCTAATCGCAGCTGAGCTTGAAGCGACACATTCACAGATACATTCGAAACGGCTTTCGTCAAGCAAACCGTGAGGGGCACTACTGAAAACGGATGATATTCAAGTGTTCGAGAGTGAAGTTTGTGTGATCAGAGTGTTCTCATGATCGACAGATCTGGTGGTAATGTCATTTCTTACCACGATTTATACAGGTGTTGATCAAACTCGTGCAACATCACTCTCATTTTGGAACTACATTTCAGTCTCCGATATCCTACTTGTACATTGATGGCTATGGATAAAATGTACATATTTCTGATTTTATCAGCCATATCTACGCTCTTAGTTCTCTTCTATCACTGTGTACATTAGCGTGACCTTGAGCGCTGCGATAAAATTTGTAGTAGTTCAAAAGTTACAACTCAGATTTGGAAAATATTTCAAGAGAAGCAGCATGGGAATTCATTGTTTTTACTAAATGCTGTTCCATGACGGTGTTTACTAAGTTAAGCCCATGTATTCTAAATTGCTTGTCTGTTTTCATTCAGTTCACAGTAAATAAGCAAACTAATGAAAATAAACTAACTTAAATAAATTGATAAATTACTTGGCTGCAAACTACGCACGCATTATCTACAATACTGAAAAAATAAAAAATAGTCCCAGAAGCATACAAGTTGATCTTCAGAAATGGACCTTGAGGTAAGCGGCTCGTTGAATAAGCGTTTTGTGGTGTCACCATACCCAAACCGGATGAACCATTCGAACGGTTTTGGCAATGTAACTGAAGCCGAGAGGCAACTTAATCGGGAGGCATATATATCCGATGATGCAGTTGATGTCTTGTGGAAGTGCTTTGATGTGAACACAAGTCCAATTAATAACATGTTCAACGAAATTTTTCCATCAAGACATAAACCGAGAGGAAGAAAACCGGCCAAAGCAAGACGATGGTTGTATTCGATCGCAGCGGAGAAGAATTGCACACAACCAATATGAAGGATAGTCCGGGCAGATGAACCGTTTTTTCACCACACTTTCGTTTGGAAAATGATGGCTCAATTTAATGTGCAGCTGAGGCCACGTGATATAAAGCCGTTGTGGAACGCCCAACAAAGCATAGCATACATTGATTTTACTAACAAATTAAAATCACGTCGCCCGTCCATTTGGCAATGGGTTTATCTCACTGGTGATCAACGAGTAATTCAACATATGATGAAAGCTGATCTTCTGAGTTAGTCTTCTAATGAATTTTGTTTTACCTGTCAAAAGAGGTATATATTCATCCCGCCTGACGAGTTAGGACAGAATTAAATACTGAGTGCCTTGTTAATGGTCTCCTGCACACACCAAGCTGGATATCGCAAAATGTTTTGCGCTGATAAGGGAGGTTTCCGGTAACTGCTACTCTTCAACTGCATTCGCGGAAGTCATATTTTTCACAGGTGAAGATTGGTATATCTTCTTGCTTGGGGTTGGTAGTAGAGAACGGCTAGACCTGATGAAATATTGTTTTTCACATGTATGCAGTCTCTGAAGGGTCAAATTGAATGTTAAATTCATTCAAATACCGTGCCGTAGCTGGGATTTTTATTTAATCCGAAACGTTTTACTGTGTCCGAAATAGGGATAAGTCAGCTGCCTCGACATTGGTCGTCAATGGTTGGGGTGCGGGGTGTATCAGGTTATTGTGGGCAAATTCTGTTTGTTAGTCAACTTGGTGGCCTCCACGCTAAAGCTACTGCCTCCAGTGGTCAAAAAAGAAGAAGGGCACATGGAACATGGACGAAATGGAAGTACAATACTTATACGAAGTCTATGAGTCATTTTGGTAAATAATTTCTAGTTACGTTTTCTACGGTCACTTTGCTATTTCACAACTGATGCACCAGCAACCACTGTGAAAATCGCGAAATGCTACATTTTAATGGAATATGGCTAATAGAAGCAATACATAAGTGGGTATAATATCAGATATGTTGCGTCTGATGTGGGGCAATATCATATTCGATCCCGTGGATAAGCCTGGAAAGATGAAGCATTGAGATGAACAAATGTAATGAAAATCAGGATGTACGAGTTTGGTCAATACCTGTATGCAGCAACTACCTCTCGGCATTCGTTCACGGAGATGGCGACTGTTAGGCTGCAAGCACACTGTAACCCAGGATTATTATCAGGTCTGGATGGCAGTTTCGGAGCATTGGAGGGAACGAAGCGAACAACTTAATTCGATGGGTGATACAGTCCGCTTTACAACTGATGGATTTCGAACGTCCCGGCTCTGTGGAATGCGGTTTTCAAATCAAGTAATTTATTTTGTGATGATCTTTGTCTGAACGAGGAGAACAAGATACCATTGATAAAAATATTGCGTATGGTGCGTTTTACTTGAATTGGTTAGCCGTCTTGGGCGTAAACCTATGGTTATTAGGATACTTTTGAAGTGTGTGGAGGAACTGAACCAAACTTCAGTCTATCGTGGTGAATAATTCCATTTTTAATTTTCGGATAAAGAGCCTCTACATTTCGGGTAACAAGCCTATAATTCACACGTTTGATATATATATATATATAGGTCTAATCGAAACTGAAGCAACGGGTACCTGTGAAACATTTGTCGGTTCGTATAGGCAACAGCACTTATAGTGAAGTTAATTTTTTTCCAAATAATGATGAACAATCCTTGGTGAGTCTTTATAGACGTGATTTTTATGGTTCGTTTCTACTCAGCAGATGGAATGGTCCAGAATGTAGCAGATACTCCCATTTCATCAGTAGTGGTTGACCTAGAACATGATGAGTTAAGAGGTAACTAAAGAGAATGGGACAGATTTATTAACAACAAATTAAAATTGATAATAAGCAAGGTGTAAAGTTTCTGTACACTAATAGTCGATTGGTCCGCTTTTGTTCTTTAGGACATTTTCGAGTCTCTTCGGCATCGAATCCACCAACTTTGTTATGAAGTCATTTTCTGTTTTGTGCTCCATTACGTATCGAGTTCGTCGTGTATATAGCAATGAAGCGTGAATTGTAAAGCAAGGGAGCACTGGGCAGCTTTTTCGACCTGGTTGGGTATCATCAGCAGTGCGAATCCATCGAAAATTTTGACCGATGAATATAAAGTTTTATATCTTTCAATTTTCATGGATATTTCGCGGATTTCCTGTGATGACAGTTTACTTCAAGCTCTTCATTTCTTACGTCCATTTCTAAAAATAGTAAAAACGAAACTGACTACTCACAAGTAGCCTCAGAAAAACCGAAAATGTGTTGTTGAAAAATGCTGTTTAATTTGATTTAAAAGTTGACGTTTCAAATTTTCTTTTCGTTATGCTTCTGATAAGAAAAATGGAAAATGGTAAGATAGCTCTTATCTTCATCTGAAAGAAGTTGCGTTTAAAAT